TGAAAAGGAAAACTTGCTTTGCCGATTCAATTAAAAAAATCCCTGCAACGGGTGAGTGGTGAATTTAAGGCCAGCAAAGGGTTTTTTTAGAGATTTAAGAATCGTATGGCTACAAGTGTGATAAGGGATGGAGAGGGTGGGCCCTTTCGACCAAAAAGTGGCTGAAAAATCTGTGCAGGAATTTATGGATATAAAGAGGGTGAAAGGGTTGAAAACGGATAAGGGTTTTAATTTTGACAAAAAGGCCTTTTGGAAGAAAATGCAAGAGGACCTACATTTCGAGGAGGAAAAGCACCCAAGACACAAGCCATAAAAACAGGCAACCACTTTTTTTTTATAAAAGCTAGTGGGGATTGCGAGTGAAGCCCTTTTCTCGTTATCACTCTGAAGTCCCATGTTTTCAGGGTAAACAAGTCCTAAGGCTAATTTGTGGTGATGCCAGGGCAAACAGTAAGCCATGGTCACTAGGAATTTTTTTATGACTGGTTTAACCATGTTTTTGGGCCCCCCACGTGAAAAATTACCTCCGGGAAAAAAAAATTGGACCTTAATGCCTCTTCGTATTAAAACAGTGCCCCCTGGTCAACCCTTTCAACTTTTTTTTTTTTTTTTTTTATCATCACATGGCCGTTTCCCCACCAAGGCGGGGGTGGCCCGAAAAAGAAAAACTTTCCCATCTTCACTCCATCACTGTCTTCCCAAAAGGGGTGTTTACACTACAGTTTTTTAAACTGCACTTTAACACCCCCCCTTCGAGTCAGGCACTGTACTTCCCATCTCCAGGATCAAGTCCGGCCTCCCGGGTTTCCCCTAAATCCCTTCATAAATTTACTTTGCTAAACCCAACAGCACGTAAAGTATTAAAAACCTTTTGTCTCCATTCACTCCTATCAAACACGCTCCGCATGCCTGCTGGAAGCCCAACCCCCCCCCCTTCCACAAAAACCTCCTTTACCCCCTCCCTCCAACCTTTCCTGGGCCGACCCCTACCCCCGCCTTCCTTCCATACAGACTTTTACACCTTTTAAAGCATTGTTTCCTCCATTCTCTCTACATGTCCGAACCACCTCAACAACCATTCCTCAGCCCTCTGGACAAACAGTTTTGGTATCCCGCACCACTCCTAACTTCAAACTAGAATTCTCTGCATTATATTCACACCACACATTGCCCTCCGACATGACATCTACACTGCCTCCAGCCTTCTCTCGCTTGAACATTCATCACCCACGCTTCACACCATTATAAGAGCGTTGGTAAAATATATCTCATACATTCCCTCTTTGCCTCCAGGACAAAGTTCTTTGTCTCACAGACTCCTAAGTGCACACTCACTCTTTTTCCTCTTCAATTTTCTATTAATTCAATGTCTTTCATAGAACATCGCTGACAAGTCCCACTCCCTAATATGTGAATTCGTTCCCCTCCTCCATTACTCTCTCCTCAATCTGTATCCAATCTTCATCACCTTTCTTTTTGATATCCTCATAATTACTCTTTTCTGTATTCACCTTTTTAATTTTCTTCTTTTGGCACACTACAAATTATCACAATCTCTGCAAATTCTCTTCAGAATCTCCCAAGAGCACCGTGTCATCAGCCAAAGAGCAGCTGTGACAACTCCCACTTGTGTGTGATTCTTTATCTTTAACTCCACGCCTCTTGCCAAGACCTCGCATTTAACTTCTCTTACAACCCCATCTATAAATATAGTAAACAACCATGGTGACATTACACATTCCATGTCTAAGGCCTATTTTACTCGGGAAAAAATTCACCTCTTTTACTTACTCTAACTTGAGCCTCACTATCCTCATTAAAATACTCTTCACTGCTTTAGTAACCTACCTCTTAACCCATAACTTGCAACATCTGCCTCATTGCCCCCCAATCACCTGTCATACGCTTTTCCAAAATCAATAAATGCCACAATGGGACTCTTTAGCCTTCTCTAATTATGTTCACTTATATGTTTCACTGTAAACACTGGTCCCACACACCCCCTACCTTTCCTAAGCATCTTGTTATCTATGCTATCCTATTCTCCGTCTTACTCTTAACCTTGAGGTTTTTGGTCGTATAGTACGTCTGCGTAGGGGGTTTTTTGACGATTAAGTACGCATAAATTTAGCGGCCTCAAATCTCAAGGAAAAGGCTGATAAGCTAGATGTGCGAGAATGGGTCTGTGTGGTGGGTTAGTGCGCAAGTAGGAAAAAAAATCTGGGACAGTGGTGCATTGTGGGAATGCATCATTAGTACACATTTCCACCATGCCTGTTGTAAGTAGTTCCTCATCTCGGCGAATTGGGACACTTTGTTCCCCAGTGGACAGTTCTAATACAGATGGGAAGTGACAGTGTGATGATGAGTTGCAAGGTTCTGGTGAGGGTTTTGACCGAAATAATGACATTAATATGGGTAATAGTGAGGAAAACCAGACAACCCAGGCCTTCCACTCTGGTGCTGGGCATCTGTCCACGTTCAGTTATACCAGAATCAAGAGGAAACTCCTATTTCAAAATCCAGACTCAGAGTGAGCATTGGTTGATGATGTAGATATGTGATAATGTACAACAAAGCTCTTCAAAACTTGTTCAAAGAATGGAGGAGGGGAGGAGGCAGAGGAGGAGGAGGCAGAGGAGGAGGAGGCAAGAGGAGGAGGTGGATGGGAGAGGAGGAGGCAAGAGGCGGAGGAGGCAAAGAGGAGGAGGAGGCAGGGAGGAGGAGGAAGAGGAGGAGAGCAAGGAGGGAGGAGGCAGAGGAGGAGGAGGCGGAGGATGAAGAAGAAGAAGAGGAGGAAGAAGAGGAGGGAGGAGGATGAAGAAGATACGTATGATACAATAATTACTAATAATATAATAATAATAATATAATACATAATAATAAATAATACATAATAATAATATACACATAATAATACATAATAATTATAGGTTATAATCATAATAATATTATGTAATAATAAATGTTCCCCTTGACAGTAAAGATAAGGGAGATAACATTGATAAGGTGCTGACGTTTGATGAGGGTAAATGAGGGTGAGCTGATGCCAAAGATGAGTAAAACATCTCCTCCTTTGTTTTTGCTGGTAACTAAATTTCTGTATGTCTATTTGCCTGTCTGTCAAGCTTCTGTCTATCCGTCTAGCTCACTGTCTCAGAGAGCCACCAAGACTGTGTCATCCTTTTACACATCTCAAGCAGAGTATGCACTTTGTCTGGGTTTCTTGGGTTATCCTAGGTAATTTATACTATGTATACTTGTATTTATGTGTACCTGTGAGACAGAGATAAAAAGACAGATAGAATGAGGGAGAAAGATAATTAGATAGAATGGAGGAAGGGAAGCAGCATCCGACCCATTGTTTTGACAGGCGGGAGGGGGGAGTGAGTAATGAGACAATATGTCATTTTGACAGCTGCCGACTCCTGTAATTTACACTATGGAGGAGGAGGAGAAGGAGAAGGAGGAAGAGTAGGGGGAAAGGAAGAAGAGGAGGAGGAGGAGAGGAGGAGGAGGAAGAGGAAGAGTAGGAGGAAGAGGAATAAGAGGAAGAGGAAGGAGGAAGAGGAATAGTAGGAGGAAGATTAGGGGGAAGAGGAAAGAAGAGGAGGAGGAGGAGGAAGAGTAGGAGGAAGAGGAAGAGAAGAGGAGGAAGAGGAGGAGGAGAGGAGAGGAAGAGAGGTAGAGAAGAGGAAGAGGAAGAGTATGAGGAAGAGTAGGGGGAAGAGGGAGGAGAGTAGGGGGAAGAGGAGGAAGAGGAGAAGAGGAGGAGGAGGGTGGAACACTAGTATACTGGTACTGGTACACTAACATTTCTGTCTGTCTATTTGTCTGTCTGTCAAGCTCCCTGTCTATCTGTCTATCTGTCTAGCTCTCTGTCTCAGAGAGCCACAAGACTGTGTCATCACTTTTACTCACATCTTCAAGCAGAGTATAGCACTTTGTCTGGATTTCTTGGGTTATCCTAGGTAATTTATACTATGTATACTTGTATTTATGTGTACCTGTGAGACAGAGATAGACAGACAGATAGAAAGAGAGAGACAGATTGAAAGAGATAGAATGAGGGAGAAAGATAAAACACCATTGTGTATGACACCATTTCAGAGTTCCACAAGCTGCAGAACTAATAGGAATATGTTCAGTGACTGTATATTGGTATATATATTATAGAACAATAATAATAAACAATGTTTGTATTGTTTGTTTTTGTAAACAAGTTTTGTAAACAATATATTGATAATTATGTTTGTGTGCTTATTGTGTTGTATACAACGAGTGTATATATGTACATTGCACCTTACTTTGGTCTCATAGGCCACATAAGTTATGTGAAAAAATAAAATAGTGAAAAAAACAACAAACCTTCAAATACAAGTAAACTAAAGTTTACCGGGTGAGCGGCAGTCGCCGCTGTTGCCATACGCGGCTCATTTTCTGCAAACTTCATGCATCCATATCTCGGTAAGTATTGATGGTAAATTTTTTTTGTTTATCCTATAATGTTTAGAAAAAAAAACTATTTTTTCATAAGAAAAAATAATTTTTTTTTTTTGAAATTTGGCCGACCCTGAGAACGAGTTTCGGAGAGGGCCTGTCGACCCTCAAAGGGTTAATTCTTTCAATTATAACTCTACCATACACTTTACCAGGTATACTCAACAGACTTATCCCCCTATAATTTTTGCACTCTCTTTTATCCCCTTTAATTATCCCCTGTAATTATCAAAACATAAAAGTTATATAAAATAAAAACGAGATAAGGTATATCGGCAACACTTCTGCAAGCGACAGAACTCCCTGTTGCTGTCAGATGAGCATCCAGCACCAACTTCGTGGCCTTACATCCCGGCAAATACTGATCCTAAAAAATTAATTTTGTCTTATTACATAGAAAATTGACCTCTTTAATTAAATAAAACTTTTTTTTTCTAAATATTCAGAGTGCTGGCAGTAAAAACATTAAGCTACATTTGGACAGTTTAAGGGTTAATAGAGGAAAATCCATTGTCTTGCAGTTTGCTGGATGTCCTGCCAGATCATATGAATGCTGAGATTGTGGCTGGAACCATAAGTTCTAAACAAGAGGCATTAGACTACCTCACCTGGACTTACTTCTTCAGGAGACTCGTTCAGGTAAGATATGTATTAATAGTTGAAAAATTTAAAAGTGAATATAGGAAAGAGTAAAGTGAGGAGGAGGATAAAAACATTAGGTAACCGAAAATTGGGCATCAGATTGGAGGGAGAGAGTACAGAGGATGTGAATGTGTTCAGCTATTTGGGAATGGACGTGTCAGCAGATGGGTCTATGAAGGATGAAGTGAATCATAGAATTGATGAGGGAGAAAAGGTGAGTGGTGCACTAAGGAATCTGTCGAGACAAAAAACTTGATCCATAAAAGAAGAGAGAGGAATGTATGAGAGTAAAGTTATACCAATGCTCTTGTATGGGTGTGAAGCATGGGTTGTGAATGTTGCAACAAGGAGAAGGCTGGAGGCAGTGGAGATGTCATGTCTGAGGGCAATGTGTGGTGTGAATATAATGCAGAGTATATGTATTTTGGAGATTAGGAGGAGGTGTGGGATTACCAAAACCATTATCCAGAGAGCTGAGGAAGAGTTATGAGATGGTTAGACACGTAGAGAGGATGGAACGAAATAGAATGATTTCGAAAGTGTATAAATCTGTAGTGGAGGGAAGGTGGGGTAGGGGTCGGCCTAGGAAAGGTTAGAGGGAGGGGGTAAAGGAGGTTTTGTGTGTGAGGGGTTTGGACTTCCAGCAAGCGTGTGTGAGCATGTTAGATAGCGAATAGAGACAAATTGTTTTTAGGACTTGATGTGCTGTTGGAGTGTAAGCAAGGTAACATTTATGAAGGGATTCAGGGAGACCAGCAGACTGGACTTGAGTCCTGGAGATGGGAAATACAGTGTCTGCACTTTGAAAAAGAGATGTTAACCCTTTGGCTGTTTACGTCGTATATATGTCTTACGTGCCACTGTTTCTGACGTACAGTGGACCCTCAGCTAACGATGGCATCAGCTAACGTTAAATCCAGCTAACGATACATTTTAACACAAAAAATTTGCCTCGGCTAACGCTAAAAAACTCACCCAACGCGATCCGTTCGGACTGAGCACGCCTCAGTTGTCCCATGGGTGCCAGTGTTTACAAGCCAGCCAGTGCAGTCGCAACCACGCATACATTCGGAACATTTCGTATTATCACAGCGTGTTTAGTGATTGTACCTGCAAAATAAGTCACCATGGGCCCCAAGAAAGCTTTTAGTGCCAACCGTGTGGTAAAAAAGGTGAAAATTACTATGGAAATGAAGTGGGTAAAGGAAAAACAGCAGGAGATGCCATCTCCCAAGTGATCATATGTAAAAAGGGTGGGAAATACGTACTATCGTACCACGGTCAGCTGCTGCTGCACCACCGTCAGCTGTTGCTGCACCACAGTCAGCTGCTGCTGCACCACGGTCAGCTGCTGCCGCACCACAGTCAGCTGCTGCCGCACCACAGTCAGCTGCTGCTTTCCACAGTCAGCTGCTGCTGTACCACGGTCAGCTGCTGCTGCTGCACCACAGTTAGCTGTTGCTGAACCACGGTCATTTGTTGCTGAACCACGGTCAGCTGCTGCTGAATCACGGTCAGCTGCTGTTGCACCATGGTCAGCTGCTGCTGCACCACAGTCAGCTGCTGCTACACCACAGTCAGCTGTTGCTGCACCACGGTCAGCTGTTGCTGCACCAGTCAGCTGCTGCTGAACCACGGTGAGCTGCTGCTGCACCACGGTGAGCTGCTGCTGCACCACGGTGAGCTGCTGCTGCACCAGTCATCTGCTGCTGCACCACCATCAGCTGTTTCTGACCAACATGACTCATCCCAAACCTGTCCATCCAGCCCTGCCGTCATTGTTTACAAGCCAGGGTGGTCGATTGCATGCATACATTCGATACATTTTGTATTATTCCATTGTTTTTAGTGCTTGTAACTGCTAAATAAGCCACCATGGGCCCAAAGAAAGCTTTAGTGCCAACCTTGTGGTAAAAAGGGTGAGAAATATGTACTCTCGTACCACGATCAGCTGCTGCTGCACCACAGTCGGCTGTTGCTGCACCACAGTCAGCTGCTCCTGCACCACAGTCAGCTGCTGCTACACCACCGTCATCTGTTGCTGCACCAAAGTCAGCTGCTGCTGCACCACGGTCAGCTGGTCCTAGTGGCATTTAAAAGAAGGGAAGTAACCCCGGAAAAGGACATGCTACCTAAAGTCCTAATGGAAGGGGATTCCCCTTCTAAACATTAACAACTTCCATACTCTCCCCTCCTCCCATCCCATCAATCATCACAAGATCTTCAATAAAGGTAAGTGTCAGTTTGTGTATGTTAAAATTAATATTTCATGTGGTAAAAACTTTTTTTGTTCATACTTTGTGGTGTCTTGCACGGATTAATTTGATTTCCATTATTTCTTAGGGGGAAAATTAATTCATCTAACGATGAGCTTTCAGGAACGGATTAATAACGTTAGCTGAGGGTCCACTGTATTTCTTTTCTTTCTTTCAACACATCAGCCGTATCCCACCGAGGCGGGGTGGCCCAAAAGGAAAAACAAAAGTTTCTCCTTTTACATTTAGTAATATATACAGGAGAAGGGGTTACTAGCCCCTTGCTCCCGGCATTTTAGTTGCCTCTTACAACACGCATGGCGTACGGAGGAAGAATTCTGTTCCACTTCCCCATGGAGATAAGAGGAAATAAACAAGAACAAGAACTAGAAAGAAAATAAAAGAAAACCCAGAGGGGTATGTATATATACGCTTGTACATGTATGTGTAGTGTGACCTAAGTGTAAGTAGAAGTAGCAAGATGTACCTGAAATCTTGCATGTTCATGAGACAGAAAAAAGGACACCAGCAATCCTACCATCATGTAAAACAATTACAGGCTTTCGTTTTACACTCACTTGGCAGGACGGTAGTACCTCCCTGGGCGGTTGCTGTCTACCAACCTACTACCATAGTCCACTGTATTTATACGTGCAAATTCTAGTGGCTTCAAATTAAGCAGGAGATAGCTGGTAGGCCCACATGTGAGAGAATGGGTCTGTGTGGTCAGTGTGCACCACATAAAAAAAATCCTGCAGTACGTAATGAGAAAAAAAAAACTGACTTTTTTTTTTTGATTAAAACTCCAACTTTGAGATGTATTTTCTTATAGTATTTATCGTTGTATTCCCGTTTTCATGGTCTCAGGTGATAAAATGGAAAACATTTTATAGAAATAGAGATGATTTTCATTACTTTCATGATGAAAACGACCTTGAAATTGAGCTCAAAGTAGCGTAAATGTTCGATTTATTTCCAATGTTCAGGAGTAAGCAAATTACACCACATGTCCAATACACGTCAACTGGAGAGTCAAATATTCTTTCACTAGTGCACTGATATTATTTATATAATTTTGACAATAATGCATTAGTCTGCATAACAGTAAATTTTGTATTTTTTTGTATGAATAAAAAATCAATATAGAAAGCAATAGTAATATAAGAGTGGCCTAGAGATGTGACTAATGAACAGAGGATATGTTATTTTAGTGCCAAGAATGTCTACATTGTTTAAAAAATTGGCCAAATTGCCAATTTCTGACCACTTTATTGAGTAGTTAAAATCGGTAAATGGGCTGTTTCTTGTACTCTACTGATAAAAAAATGGAGTTCTAAAGAAATAGCTATGAGTTTGGTCAACTGGAACAACGGAATTGGCCAAAAACAGGGCTCAAAGTTGACGAAATTGCCGATGCGTATATGTCGAGGAAACCGCTAAATTCGCAGGAGTGTAATTCCGTGAGTTTACGACCAAATTTCGTACTTTTGGTGTCATTACCATCGGGAAAAGATTCTCTATCATTTCATAAGAAATTTTTTTTTTTTTTTTCCAAAACTTTTGCGACATAGAATGACAGTTTCAGAAAGGGGCTTGCGACAGTAAAAGGGTTAATGCTGCAGTTTTATAACTGTAGTGTAAGCATGGCTCTGGCAAGACAGTGATGGAGTGAATGATGATGTAAGTTTTTCTTTTTCGGGCCACTCTGCCTTGGTGGGAAACGGCCGATGTGTTAATTTTTTTTTTTTTTTTTTTTTTTTGCAGCTTGCTTTCTAACCCTCTCTTCTTCCTTTCTCACTACTGCTACTTCCCTCTTTCTTCCTCCCAACTTCCTTCCTTTCTTATTATTTCATTCCTTTCTTGCTTCCTTCCTCCCTTCTTCATCTCCACTTCCTTCCTCTATATATTTTTCTCCCTCATTCCTCCCTACTTTTCCTCCATGTTTCTACTCTACTTTCCCCCTCTTCTTTCTTATATTTTTCTGTTTTTTTGTCTTTATTTTCTTCCTTTCATCTTTTCTTCATCCCGTCTTTCTTCATCTCGTCTTTCTTATCCCTCTTTCTATCCCTTTCTTCATCCATCTTTCTTCATCCTCTTTCTCATCCGTCTTTCTTCATCCCGTCTTTCTTCATCCCATCTTTCTTCATCTCGTCTTTCTTCATCCCGTCTTTCTTCATCCCGTCTTTCTTCATCCCTTCTTTCTACATACCTTCTTTCTACATCTTTACTCTTTTCCTTCTTTGTCCTTCTTTCTTCATATTTACTTCATATTTACTTTCTTCATATTTACTTTCTTCATAATTACTTTCTTTATATTTACTTTCTTCATATTTACTTCTTCATATTTACTTCTTCATCCTTACCCTCTTTATTTGCTACTTTCTTAATCTCTACTTTTTCCTTCTTTCTACATTTTTCTTGCCTTCATTCTCATTCTGTTTTCACTATTCTCACTCTCTACATTCTCACTCTCTACATTCTCACTCCCTACATTCTCACTCCCTACATTCTCACTCCCTACATTCTCACTCCCTACATTCTCACTCCCTACATTCTCACTCCCTACATTCTCACTCCTACATTTTCACTCCCTACATTCTCACTCCCTACATTCTCACTCCCTACATTCTCACTCCCTACATTCTCACTCCCTACATTCTCACTCCCTACATTCTCACTCCCTACATTCTCACTCCCTACATTCTCACTCCCTACATTCTCACTCCCTACATTCTCACTCCC